GTATGTATACTATACCTACCATGCAGCCTGTAGAGGAAAATAACTGTGCTATAACGCCTATATCCATTGATAGAGTGGAAAAAAAATGTATGTATTAGTTTATTACCAATTTAATTTTTTTGCTTATTAAAGAATAATTATATATAAATTATATAGTTTAATATAAAAATATCTAATATAAATAATATAATATACTAATTAAATAATAAAGGCAATAAATAAATACATTTTTTTGGTCATACCTGGAAGCTGTTGATGATAGTTTTCAAATTAATTATGTAATACATATTTAATTATTTTTTATTGTTTTATGTGTATTAACTTATAATCTATAGAGCGTGGCAACAATGTTTAAGTACTAGGTAGTACTATTAGGTACTATAATTTTACCCAATTAGTTTGATATTTAACTTAATACAATGTAGTGCAATGAGATATATTGTGGTGTATACCTACTGGCATTGATGGTATTTATGACATGACATATAATACTAATACTAAAGCTATTAAATATGATAGTAGTTATATGAAAAATATCAATGAATCATTGAGTCACTAAACGACTAAACTATAGCACAGTGATTCACTTTAATCAATTGATCTAAAAAAGTCATTGAATCAACTCAATCACAAATTACCCACATTTAATAATATATAACAATTATTTTCATTTATTTTTATAACAAAGTTTACTATTATTCTTATAGGTGATAAAAAAAAGGTCGAAACATTATCTACAGCAAAACGTTTAACCAATAGTCTAGCTCTTGGTAGAGACATTTATGAAATTGGAGAACAAAAACTAAAGCTAAAAGAAAAATACTATGAACAAAAAATTGCCCTCTTAGAAAGGCAAACAGTAGCATTAGAAAATATAGCTGCTGCTAAACAAAATAAATTGTAATGTATACTATAAAAATGGTTTAATTTAGTAACTAAAAGACTAATTATGATTTTTTAAATAGTATATAATTTAAAATATATAGTTATGATTTTTTTAATTACTACCAGTTTATACTAGTTTGTTTGTATTATTTATGTAAAGGAGGTTCCTAAAAAATCAAATTATTTTTTTTTAATATTAATTTTTATTAAGTTTGAATGTTTTTGTTACATGTTATTTTATAAAATTACTTACAAATAGGTAATTATGATATTTTTTTTATCTTAATAGTTTTATAATATTGTTAATGCTATACAAAATATAAGTTTTCTGTTCTAAACTACCTATTGTACAAACATCTTGCTATATTGTCTCTTATTCTTCTACTTTCAACTAATTCAGGATTCACATTCCTTCCTCGAATGCCATCTTCAGGATAATTATTATTTATAATTCCAAAATCAATTTCTTCCACATTTTCATCATTCATGTCTGGAACTGGAATTTTAGCCAATATGCACATATTGTGTAAAATAACACAGGCATTTACAATTTTCCCTGATTTTTGCGGCGTATAGTGTAATACCCTATGCTTCAATAAACACCTATAAAATTAACTAACAATTTAAAAATAATTACTAATAATGCTTTATAAACTCACCTGAACCGAGCCTTTAATACACCATTACATCTCTCAATTATACTTCGTGTTGTCATCTGCATTTTGTTGTATTTTTCTTCTTCGTTAGTTGTTGTTTCAGAATATGGTGTTAAAAGCCAAGGTCTTAGGGCGTATCCTGAATCTCCTACATCATATTAGTTTTTTTAAATATCAGGTTGATTCCAACAATTTAAATTGATTTTTTTTCTTATGAATAATATTATTTTACCCAGTAAATATATGCCTTTGTGTTCACGTCTATACAATTCCTCCAAGATATTTTTTATATCTGTAGATGAATTCCATATATGAGAGTCTGCTGTACTGCCAGGAAATTTTGCATTCACACTCAAAATATAAAGTTTAGAATCACAAATCTATTAAATAAAATAAAAGAACTAGGTATTAACTATTGATTAGAATTTGACTAGGTGTGCTAGTAAGTTATTTCAATCAGGCACGTATCCAGAAGGTCCATGGGGTCTTGGCTACATGCCTGAATATTGACTAAATCTTAACACATTTACCAATTGTACATTTAATGAGTGGTAACCTTTTCTGTTTACATAAATATACTCAGGTATTTCTGCATTCTGGTTGTTAGGAGGTACAATTGCAATATGTGTGCAATCAATGCAGCCCAAAACTCCTGGAAACGAAGTGTTAATAAAAAATCTAAAAAAATAAAGAAGTAAAATCCTGAGATTAGTAGGCAAAACAAATTTTTGATTGAAAATTGTTATTAAGGTTTTATATAATAATTTATTTTACTCATTCCTAATTTGCTTGATCTTTTGCATATTATTAGGGAATTTAACCCATTCATTTAATATTCTAGGGTGGTTCAATGCCTCAACCACACAATTAATAGATCTGGAAACAGTGGGTTGTGATACAGCCACATACCTATTGTTACCAATTGGCGTTTGATAGCATCCCGTTGCGAAAAAGTTTAATGCTAAAAACACCTGTAAAAATACTATGCATAGATAAATTAATTTAACAACTGCAGATGGATCTCCTCAAAAGCCAATATAGCTGTGCTAGAGGAGAGACTTCCATAAGGTAGGTAATAATATTGTTAGATAGGTACAAATTTTAACTATATTATAAATTGATTCGACAGATCAACTTAATTAAATTAATTAAAATAAACTTACTATAATAAAGTATTAATATATTTTTTTTTAATACAGATTTCTTAAGTTATTTATATTTGAATCATGAGTATAACAAAATCGTATAACTGTATAATCTTGTATTTAAGACATTGTTGTCCAAAAACTGTTCTCATTTTAGGAACAATGGCATTAGACTTAGATAAGATAGAATAACCACAGATTATATTAAACTTTTAATTACAATTGTTATTAAATTATTTTATATAATCTGTGGAATAACTATGACTGTTATTCTATGATCTATAGTTAAATAAGGGACAGCCCACGATTAAAGATATACTAAGGTATATTTTTAATCGTGGGACAGCCTAATGAACAATATTTTTTTGTCCGATAGCTAAGTATTTTTTTTTTATTTTAAGTGAATATAATATTTAGTTTTTTCCATGTTAATTGTTTATGAGCAATTGTCCAGCCAATTTTTAAATGTAGCAAAACTATTCTCTGCCATTTTATATAAATCATTTAGGTTTTGATTTTTTACTAAAATAACCGTATTGTCTGCAAAGTAGATTAATTTTCCCTGAATAAACTGGTGGAGAAAGCCATTAATATAAATTATAAATAATAACGGTCCAAGTACTGTACGTTGTGGTACTGAGTGAGTAATTAATATTAGCTATGTCACTCAAGTGATTATCAATTTAATTTCTTTGTGATCTTCAGTTTAAGTATGAGTTAAATAATTTATGAACACTACCTCAAATACCACATAAGTACAATTTATTTAGTAACATCACAGTCCACTGTAATACTGAATCAAATGCTTTTTAATGTCATGGAAATGCCAAGTGCTTATCATCAATATTTTCATAAATAATTTTAGTAGTATTATATTATAATAATGCATTGTTAGTTGACATATTGTTCCTAATGTATTAAGTTCCTTTATATGTATTTAACTTAGGTGAACATAGTAGGTTTTTTTACATTCAATTAATACCAACATTTATTTACAACTTTTTACTATTACCTTTTCGGAGAGTTTTATAGATGACGACCTTCTTTCTGGTTCAATGTAAGGTGTAATTAAAGCTAATAGCTGTTGAACTAAATCTTTGCTTAATCTATAATTTTTTACAAATAAACGATCACATTGTGTAAATGGGTCATACTTAACTGTAAACCCATGTCTTGGGTTATATGAAGCTTCTTCATCAACCATATTCAAAATATATAAAGCTGCAAGATCGTTGAAATCATCCATTTTTAAACATGAACTTCAAAAAAATATGTACTATTTAACAATTTCGGTGAAGATAAACGATGATAATAATAAAAGTCGAGTGATATGAAAAAGTCGTGGCACGCATACCCCCACGATATTTTTTCACACAACTTTTTCGTATATACACATTGAAGAATAGACAAAAACATATTTCATGTGACAAACGTGATTTGTCGTACACGACAATGCTATAACGAGATTCAAGAATCGACCCCCTGGTAATTTTCTTATTTTGTTGTATTTCAAAAA